TCACCTCTCTTTTTTTTTTTTTTTTTTTTCCTTTTTGTTTTTTTTCGTGACCGGCAACGGATCGCAACCCTCAGTGTCGCGCCCGTACCGGACCGGGACCGGCCATGGGATCGCAACCCTCGGTGCTGCTCCCGCCCCTCACTCAGCCAGTGAGCGGCCGGTCTGTACGTGGGATCCGAACCCTCGGCGGGAGCGCCACCATGCTTCCCAAGCGGTGCACTACAGCAGTGCGCCACCAGGCCGGCCCGACTGTCTTCACCTCTCTTAGCTCTGTAATACCAGGGCATACAGAAAAGAATTGCTGGCTACTTTATCATGCTCTATGAAGAAGGGCTGGAGACAGTAGGTATCACTGTTAGTTCAATAGACATTCCCAAAGCAACCTGCCAATTAGGGAAGGAAGCAGCCCATTTAAATCATTAAATCTCTTTAAGAAACTGAAACAACTTCAATGCCCAAGACTAGGGAATTGGTTGAATTGTGAGACATAATACCTGGATATACACTCACATGACAGAATTATACACTGAAGAATATTAAATGATATGGGGAATGTTCATAATAAATTTAAAAAATACTGCCACAAAACAGTATAAATACTATGATTACAGTCTTTGAAAAATAATTGATTTATGGGGACAAAAATAGAAGACATACAAAATGTCAAAAATAAACTGATTGGTAAGATTATGGGTACTTTAAGTTTTTTCTTTTCTAAACCTTATACGATAAACATATTTACATATAAAGATATAATAAATGATATAACATTTTAAAAATAATGCCACAGCACAGAAATTGTGACTCTCTGCTCATTACCACATAAAAAACAAGCATTTAAAGAAATGTGGGTATTTCCTAAGCAGTGGGGTACAAATTTGTAAAAGAGAAAAGTCTCTCTTGATTTTCTCAAGTTTCCTCCTTTTTCCCTTGTCCTTGTCCCAGATTTGAAAGTAAAAATGTATGTGTGTGTGTGTCTCAGTCTGGCTCATTTCCTACCCCAAGATGCTCTCAGGGAAATTTCACATAGTTCAGACTTCTCAATCCCACAGACTCCTGGCCATGAGAGTGAGTCTGTACCCTCTTCAGCATTCATTTCCTACTAGTTGCCTCTCTGGGTAGTAGCAAGATTACTGGGAAAATTCCTGCCTCATGTCTGCAAAAGTCCAGGTCTCCGCTTGAGCAGAGAGCAAGAAACAGGAAAGTGCATGGCCAAGACTTCCTCTAGTTCTTACCATACTAATATTTGTAAGTAGTTAAAACACTTTACACTTATTACCCTAATTGTTAAAAATAACAACTACCATCTATTGAACACTTACCATGCAGCAGGCACACACTAAATTGTCTTATTTAATTTTCACATTGGCCATTTAGGTGTTATGCCTATTTCACAGATGAAGACACAGAGGTTTAGGTCAAGCAATTTGCCCAAGTTCCCAGTACTATAAAGGGACAGACATAAGGTGCCTCAGAGATTGCAAAGCTATTTCAAAACTGCCTTCATTATTCTTCACACTACTCTGTGAGGTAGATGAGGGTTCTAGGTTTTAACTTTTAAAATGAAGGGATAGATGGCTTTAAGATCTCTTCTGGGAGATCATGGCTGATCCATAAGAGCATTTCCAGTTTTTAGCTTCAGTAAAGGGGGCCCTGTACTTTAGTAGATCAATGATGGCAGCCATATATGGGCCTATTACAGGAGATTATGGGTGGCAGATTTTAATCTGACCCTGAAGAAGGTAGGATGTAGTGGGAGACGAGATACTGGCAGCAATCAGTGTCCTGACACGGTGACAACAAGGAGACAGGACTAACTAACTCTAGAGTTTGCTAGAGGGAGGAACCAATGGTTCTGCCAAGCCAGGAAAAGGCAGAACAGCTGAGGTCAGTGGATGATGTTTTCATGCTCGATGGACCTGCTCAGCTCTTCCTGGAAAAGGTTAGGGGTTTTGTGTACATAGCTGAGAAATTATTTTGACCAGGTATGTATGCTATCATAAAATAGCATTGTATTCAGGTCATGAATAACACAATCTGCTATCAATACTTAAAAGAACCATATGGGTTAATAGTGACTTTTCAATATACACACATAATAGTAATAAAGACAAAGAGACAACATAGCTATAATAATTTATTGCTTTTCATTTCGTTTCTATGAAAGTGGGACGACACTAAAGGTTGTTTGAAGCAAAGCAGTGAACTGAGACACTGACTTATTCTCATGGCATCTATATGACTTATTATATCAGAATTGAATTCCTCATGACTGGCCTTAATGGAAGTTAATTTTAAAATTAATAATCTTGATTTTAAAAAATATATTGCCTTCTAAGGCCCCATAAAGTACTAAGTTTTTATAAGCCTAATATCCTTTGGAGTTCATCTTTGCCTTAAATGGGTTTATGATCATTTTTGTGAGCCACAATCTCATTATTTAAAAGTTCATAAGGGAGACAGTTAATCGAACAGACCAGAGCACAGGGTCTAAGATGTGATATTATTACATAGATATTTACGGAAACAGTCTTGCCAGAGGACAATGACTCCAGAAATTCTGTTAGCCTCTGTGCATATTTGTGTGACAAAGACCATACTTGCTCCGACTAAAATTTGCTCTTTAATTCCTACTAGACAGATTCACTGATAAAATTGCTTCCATCTTATATCAAAATCACTTATTCATAAGCCAAATACACTTGTTCATGATTCTAAAAGGCAGGTGATGTTTGATATTGTTAAGGTTTTATGTGACAAGATAGCATTCATAGTATCCATATCAAGAATAAAACTAAATCCAATAAGCAGGTTCCCTTAAGTCCAGAGTAAGTTTCCCTTAAAGTCAAATGCCATAAAACTCTGCCACTCTGCTGTCTTTATCCTCCAGGGTATGGATGGTGGGCACTCTGAGTAGGGAGCTTTGATATTACCCTGCAGTAAAAAAGGTTTCTCCTTATTTTGTCCTCATCTGGTACAGAAAAGGAAGAGCAAGTGGGCACATGTCTAAGATTTGGAAGCTACATTCCTGAGAGTCAAGACTGGAAGTTGCCTCTCCAGCTGTTATGACCTGAACTCTAATTAATCCTGTGCAAATTAAATTCGAACTATCACTATATCATAGGGCCTATCACCCTCCGAAACCTATCAGGTCTTGGATTGGTGCTCTCCCAGAAGTAAAGGTCTGTTCTTTGATATCCCAGGAAGAATTATGCTCTAAGATGGATAAATGAGATATACAACGAGCTACAATTAGGTCTTAATGAGTTCAATACATAGTGTGTCATAGAGTTAAAAATGTGGAAAGATAATTTTTTCAAATGTATGTATAATTATTCTGAGGACCTGCTTGCCTGTCATAAACCTACAGGACTTGTTAGGAGGATGAAATAGTTAAAACTCAAAGGAGGACACTAAACACTGGGTAGGACAGCTTCTAGAAATCACGAAGGGGAATTTCCCATGTGGTCTGGCAAGCACACCATTCCTTATCTTTCTCGCCCACCCAAAATTTCAGACACACAGGCTTCAAAACCTGGCGTGATCATTGAAGCCTGCTTAGAAGCGCAAAGGGTCTCGTACCAGGTTTTGGGTATAGCCACAGGTTTCTCTTATTCAGTAACTGGGGCCTCGAAATTTATAATTCTCCTCCGTTCCACTCCATCCTCCCTTCCAGTGTTCCAGAAGCTTTTAGAACATTCCATTTATCGCTCTGCTTCCCTGTCTAAAATACTATCAGGGAGTTGCCTAAGGGGAATTCCTATAAAAGCAGTAAGAGAAAATACGGATGCGTTACTTACTGCCTATAAATCGGGCACTTCAAAGTCTTCCGTTTTAATCACGATTTGAGACTTAGAACCACGAGTGTGTGTGCAGGGGCTTTCTTCTACGAGAATTGCCCGGCTTCACCCCGGTTTCAATCTGTAATTTCCCATGAGTTCAAGAAACATCACCTCATCGCTTCCAAGACGCAGCCGACGCCTCTCTTCAACAGCAGGTGTTTCCCTAACGACGCGAAACGCTTTACCTCAAGCCCCTGAAGAGCCCGGGCTTTTCTTCAGGCGGAGCGACGCCCGACGGTTGGTTTCTCTACTTCCCTAAGTCCACGCCCGCCCACCGGTGTCGAAGCCAGCTTCTGACTGGTCTAGGGGTGTGCTCGTCTCCGCAGCAAGCCAATCAGAGCCTCCCTTCTCACCCTAGGGATTTGGAAAACGGAAAAGACCTAGGCCGGTCCCGGGAGTAGGGCGGGACCGTCGATGAATGACAGCTCACCCCTTCAATAGGCAGAGCTCTAGGAACGGCCCCTTCTGGCTGTGGGGCTAGAAAAGAACGCCGATGCCGGCTGGAGCGATGAGTCGTTGGAGGCACCGGCCGTTCGGCGGCCCCGAGGAGCGGCTGCTGGTGGCCTCTTTGCAGGTGAGTGGTTTCGTTTTAGAATATTACTGTCGCGACCGTTTCCATTTTTAAGTGATGTATGTTTTATTTGAGGATGCGGAGGAAGCCAATTCCTTTCCTCCCCCCGGTTTAGTCTTCGGTGAGCATCTGGTGCCCACTGCACCCCTCAACCTGCGACCCTCCCGGACCCCCCGGGTACCCTCCGATGTCCCTTTCTCAGAATGAGCCTCTCAGGCAGGCGCAGTTCTGTCAGCTGAAAGGAGGAACCCGCCCCGGTAGGGGTGACTTGACGGCAAGAATAAATAGAAGTTGAAGGGAATGAAGAACTGCTGTCCCCTGGACGCGTGAGGCGCGGAGTGGCGGTGCCTCTTCCATAGTAAGGGTGCCTGGAAAGAAGCAGGGCTCTGCCGCGCTATTTAGGGCCATGGCAGACCTGGCCCTGACATTGTGCGTGAGAAGGTAGAAAATGCCTGAATACCACGAAAGGAGAACGGGGTGAATATAGGCAATGGTTTTATGGAGCACTGGAGTCTGGAGCCAAATCACAGGTTTTTAGAACCACTAAAAATCAAAAAGTGTATTTCTCTGTTTTCTAAGGGATGGGGGCTGGTATTACACTAGAGAAGGTCAATAGAAATGCATAATTGAAGTTCACAGTTAAGCTTTGAAGGATAATTGGTTGTTAACTAGCTTAGAACTCATTCCCCTACCGCCACCCCTCCAAATTATCCAGAACTGATTTGTAACTTGTGAGTAGTACTAGAAGGTTAACAGACTGAATGTGGATTCCTGGGGGGAGGTAGGGATCAAACGCTGTGTTTCACCAGTAGGTACTAAGTAGATTCAAAAAGCAGAACTCGTGTCAGTTTGTCTTTTATTTTAAAACTCTCTCTCCTGAGTCCAGGGACTAGGTTTCATTCGTTTTTGTATTCCTATAGCACCTCATATACCATAGATGCTCCCCAGATGATGGTGGACTTTAGAGAACCATACCTCAAACAAATGCTGTACTGGAAGGAGCTCTGAGTTAGAAGTCAAGACATCTTGGTTTTAGTTCTGAAACTGTTACTATTGGTGTGATCTTAAAGAAATCATTTCAACTCTGACTTAATTTTTGCATCTTTAAAAATCAAGTGTTGCATTACATTATTTCTGAGGTCTTTGCCTGTATTAAAAGTCTGTTTTAAAATAAAGATGATTAAAAAATTTTTTTCATAAAAGTGATTAGACAGTTTTCACCACATTACAGTAAATTCTCTACCAATCTGTTAGCAAATAAAAGTTCCCAGCTTCAAGGACATGTCCTTTTGTGTCTGTATTTAGACTAAACCAAACAAAAATTTGGAGAGTACAGAAGTGTAATGTGGCAGAAAATGTAACCTTTAATTCCATTTCTCAGAGGCAACCATGGTTAGTGTTTGGGCAGGTCTTTTAGTCTCTCTTCCTCTTTCACCTCCTATGGTTAGTTGAGATTGAGGCACATTTCATTTAAAATGATTGATACATCTTTGTGCATCCTGGTGCCAGGAGAAAGACGACACATGAATGTTTGAACTGAACGGTTTCTTGAACATCCTTGAAATAAAATCTGATGTGAGGGGTTGTTTACATGGGAAAACAGGACAAAAAGTATTACTTAACAAAATGCTTGCACTGAAACTTGGCCATAAATATGGGAAAAACATACTTCATAGAATATAAATTGTTATCCACTTCACTAAAGCATTTGGATTGTGGAATATTACTTAGTATTTGGTATGCTTCTAGGACTTGTTTTACCATTACCTTCTCCCACCCCGCAACATTTGATTGCATTTCTCCTTCTGCTGTTGATTGCCTTCCTCCTTCCACTATTGATTGCATTTCTCCTTCCACTGTTTAGTTAAAGCTTCTCTCTAAACCCTTCCCTCATTTTACTTTATTCTCAGCTTTCACTTCTACTCATAGCATCAGCAAGAAAGGATCACTTTGATGGGCCTGAGATCTGTGCCAATCTTCATGAGTTAGTCCAAGTCTGCTCCATTCTACCTCTCACTTTTCGGTAGAGTGTTTCACCATAATCTCATTTAATCTTACTGATCGCCTCTTGAGAACAGTATCATTATCCTCATTTTGGGGAATATGGAACCTGAGGTCCAAATTTATTCAGGATCATTCTTTCAATAAGTAGCAGAGCTGGGCTCATGTCTAGGTTTTTCAACTTCACACTTTGGCGTTTGGTGGAAATAGTTTGGGTTGACAAAAGTTACTACCCTGGGGAAGTAAGTGACCAGAGAAAGGAAGGAGGTGCCATGAGTGTGTGTTGTGCACACTGGTGATGCCGTGCAGGCTGGAACAAGCAGTGTGCGCCAGGAAAATACATATCTCATTACACATGTGCATCTCTTCTCTGTTAGTAGGAGTCTACCTGCTATGATTTGTTACCCTTGTAACAAGTGATCAGTAGGGGATGTCAGTAGATTAAAGTTGGAGAATGAGAGGGTTATATTGCCTGGAAAACACCTGTGAGTGATAGCATTTGCTCCCAATGAAGAGATGGTCTTATAACTGCAAATACAAATGGAAAAGTTACTGTAAAGCTTTAGGAAAAGTAATAGACCATGGAACACTGTAGATACTTTAAGGTATAGTCATGTTTGAACTTTTAATATTGAACTTGATTTTGGGGAAGGAATATTTTGTTGACTCTCAAAGCTTTAAGGAACTGAGCTCCTGATTTCATTTCCCTTGACAACTGTTCCTTTTTAATTTGTCAGAGACAAGGTTAACCTGTCTCTCTCTCAGATACTTTTATAGCCAGCTCATCTTCTACAAAGTTAAATTCTTAATGCAGTGGGGGTTACAAATTACTCAAAGCTATGCATTGAGGATTTGGACCAAGGAAAACATCTGAATAGTCTAGGGTAGCAATTGAATATTTAATATTTAAGTATAAGCTTTAGATCAAAGTGGTTCTGGTTCTATGTCCCTTATTTTATATTACTTCAACAATATATATTATATAAGATCAAATTTCTTGCTCAATTTTTGGAAACAGAAGCAAAACGTAATTTTTAGGCTGGACTTTACTCTTTAATTTGCCCCACCTGTTCGTGAGTTCTGATAATAGTTTTAAACATTATTAATTTCAAACACTTGAGGAAGGGAGGAAGCAAAGTCCCAGGAGTGTTAGTTTAGAAGACAGGATGAGCCTCAGTTATGAGGGGAAGAGTGTGTGAAATTGCGTGTTTTAATTAGGGGCAGGAGTAGAAAACAGCAGCAAGATGGTCATACTACATTTTTTGAAACTACTTTGAGGTTCTGAAAATATTATAGAAGTAACATGCAGTGCCTTTGCATGTGCATCATTCCCCTGTTTATGCTCTTTGTCTCTGCTTGCCAAAAGAATGCCAATCTTGAAATATAACTTCGATTGTATGGGGCATTTGTGGAATATGTTTTGCTTTATAGAGAATTTAGATGGAATTTGTATACATATACTCGTATAGTGAGAGGTTTTGAAAGTTATATCACCTGCAACGTATGCCTTTTGAATCACTTATTTGTTTCCTAATTGTCAAGGCAGTTGCATAGCACTTACTCCTGAGCAAGTGTACTTTCACCGGAAGTGTTAGGCACTGTGACATATATTGTGAAGTTGTCTAACAGGGGTAAATAAAGTGTGTCAAAATGGCAGATTATATTTTGGAAGGAGATTAACAAGACAAATCACTTTTCTTCCTGTAGTTTTATCTTGAACCAATTCCTAAATAATGCAGTTAAGCAAAAGTAGAGTACTTAGACTGATTTAAGTGTGCCCAGTATTGTCTTCTGTAAGGGATAAGAACAATTGTGAATGGCATTCCATCACTCGAGTTACTTGCAGTTCTAGCCAAGAATATAATCTGGTGATTTAATAATGCAGGGATTATCAGATGACAGGATGCTTCATTAAAGGTTTAAAATGCTGATGTGATTAGTAGATCTGAGTATGGGGTCCAGCTAAGCCAGGGATTGGCATACTAAGGCCTTCTGGACCACTACCTGTTTTTGTACTGCCTTCATGCTATAAATGGTTTTTTACTTTTTAAATAGCTGAAATAATAGTAATATTTTATGTACGTGAAAATTATATGAAATTCTAATTTTGGTGTCCGTATTAGTTCGTTTCTGTTGCTTATAACAAAATACACAAAACTGGGTAATTTACAAAGAAATTGACATTGCTTACAGTTTCAGAGGCTGGGAAGTCCAAAGGCCAGGAAACACATCTGGTGAGAGCCTTCATTGGCATTAACTCAGGGGCCTTACATGGCAGAATGGCAGAGCAGAGAGGGAGAGACTCACGTGCTCTCCTTTTAAAGACTGCCATTACACCATCAAATGGTTTAATCCATTCGTTATAGCAAGGTCTTCACAATCTAAACACCTCTTCAAGGCCCTACCTTTCAGTTACCATAATATGATTTCCCACCCTCTTAACATTGTCACAGTAGGGATCAAACCTCCAACATTTTAAATTTTGGGGGGACACAATTCAATCCACTGCAGTATCCATACATAGTTTTATTGGAAAACAGCCACAATTTTTCATCTATGTATTGTCTACAGCTGCTTTCAACTACAATTGTACATAGTTGTGACTGAGACCATATAGCCCACAAAGCATAAAAAATTTATTATTTGGCTTTTTACAGAAAAAGTGCTAATAGCTAAGCTTATAGTGTCTTTCACATTTATCTCTTTCATCCCCTTTCAACAGCCACTATCTGGGTCCAGGTGTTTATTATATGTTACCAGAATTATTGCAAAAACCTCACAACTAGTATTCATACCCCTGGTTTTTCCCGTCTTTCTCTGTATGTGTGAGTGCTGCCTGGTCCTCCTAAAATGCATGCTATTAAACCTTTAATGATGTCTCAATATTTATAGAAGAGCCTACATTCTTTGGCACAGGTCCTTGGGCCATCATCACTCTTATCTTTCTAGGCTAGTCTCCTCCTACTTCCTGGTTATATCCTATACTTAGGGTGACCATATAA